TGGAGTTGGTGTTCTTAACCAGCAACACAAATACAGTTTAATATGAGAAAAGATAAAATATAATTCATCTTATAAGTCTATAGGATAAATTCTACATGTGATGGTTTATTTTATGTGTCAACCTGACCGGGCTACAGGGTGTCCAAATATTTGGTCAAACTTTATTCTGGCTATTTCTGAGAGTATTTTTGGATGAGTGTAACATATAAGCTCTTCTGAATCTCCAGCTTGCTGACTGCAAATCTTGGAACTTTTTAGCCTCCATAATTGTGTGAGCCAATTCTTTATAATAAATCTTTCTATATATGTACATCCTACTAGTTCTGTTCCTCTCGAGAACCCTAATGCACCAATATACCATATTACCGTCTTGATAAATCCCCCCCCCCCCGCAAAGCATTCAATAAATTCAAAACCCATCATGGTTAAAAAAATAATGAAGAAAATTTTTAAACTGATATTTGTGATAAACCTACTGCAAACTTCCTATCTAGTGGTTAATGTTAGACGTGTTCTTTTGAAAATCAAAAAGATAAGAAAATGCCTTCAACTACCACTTTTATTCAACATTGTACTAGAGATCCTAGTTACACAGTAATACAAGAAAGAGAAATAAAAAGCTTAAGGACTAGAGAGGAAAAAAACAAAACAATGTTGCTCCCAGATAATAAAGTCTATACAGCAATCCCAAATAATGTATAAAAGAGAACAAATTATTCAAATTTCATACACTGATCTAATATAAAATCAATATATAAATATCAATTACTTTTTTATATACACAACAAACAGAAAATGTACTGAAATGGGATATATTGTTTATAATGGCATCAAAAAGAGTAAGATGCCTGGGGATAAACTGAACAAAAACTAAGCAAGATGTATATCCAGAAAATTATAAAGCCCTATTAAAAGAATACCCTAAAGGAGTAAAGAGATAATCTTGTTCATGGATAAGACAGCATCATAAAAGACCTTCCATTCTCTCAAATTTGATCTATAGATTTAATAAAACTCCAATTAAGAAATCCCAATAGGGTTTTATTGGGGGAGAAGAGGGGGTTGGAAGGGGGAATCTTAAAAGCTGATTCTAAATTTTTTTTAAAAAAAGCAAAGCTGAAACTTAAATTTTTGAAAAAAGCTAAATCTCAAATAGCAAAACACTCCTTAAAAGGATGAAAAAAGTGGGGCAGTTGGCCCTACCTCCTATCAAGGCTTCTTAGTGGAGAAAAGCGGGACTATTCAATAAATGGTTCAGAACAACTTGTTACTCATATTGGGAAAAAGTGAAGTTGGATTCCTACATTATATCATGCAAAACAAACAAACAAACAAAAACACGTAGGCAAAATCATAACACATTCACAAGAAAACCTAGGGCAATACTTGTAAGATCTAGGGGTAAGGAAAGATTTCTTAAAGTCACAAACAGTGCTTAACATTCGGGCAGATAAACTTAATTACATTAAGAACATCTGTTCTTCAAAAATACACCATGAATAAAAAAGGCAAGCACAGATTATGAAAAAAAAATTCTAGCACACATACCTCAATATTAGTACCCAAAATATATATAAAATTCCTCAAATTAGTAAGAAAACAAGCCACTCAAAGGAAAAATAGGCAAGTGAACACTAAAAGAAATAAATTTATAAAAGGATGATCAACTCATATTTCAGGAAAATACAGGCTAAATTCACAGTACAATATAATTTATAACTACCAGATTGGCAAGATTTTGCCAGTCTGACTGTACCAGTGACTGTGTGAATTAAGGAGAACTTGCTGGTTATAGAGGATATAAATTGGTACACTTAAAACTATCACATTATCTTGTAAAGCCAGTCATGTGTTTATGATTCAATAACTCTACTTAGAGATAATAAATCTAATATACTAGATACATACCCCAAAGAAATGTATGGAATATACATATACATATATATATATAGAATGTTCACATCAGAAGTAACATTCAAATTTAGGGACATCCATCATTTTCCTCTATATTAAGTTAGTTTTAAGAATTATTAACTTATCCCCTACAAAAGAGAGCTCAATACAATACAACTTTACTTACATTATAAATCTCCCTGTGAGAAAATAAAATTTCCCTAGGTTTCTCAGTGGTCCTCCACCAAAACTAGCCTTCTGATACACAGAAAAGTAAATATAAAGATAGGGAATGTCTGCTTTCATTTCCCCCAGAAATATTTTACTTCTCACATATTTTCAGAATTAGATCTGTAGCCAATTATCTAAGTAACTGCTCTGATTGAAAAGGATAATTAAATTTCCCTTATCTCCCTGAGAGTGCCGAGTCAGTACACAAGAGGGCCAAGAGGTTACAGCACAGATTAGTTCCTATATTAAGCCCCAAGGTGCCAGGAAGACTTAGGTATTTATATTTCAAGGATGAATGAGTCCCAGAAACTTGGAGATGTCCCAGAGGGCTAACTGCCTCCTGAAGAGATTTTATTTATTTACTACAGGGTTGGAGTTAATATTCATTACTGTTTTCAAGGAGAACTTTCCAGGAAGGGAGGGAGATAGTGGCCTCCTTCCTTTAATAAGCAAAGAAAAACCATTTTTCCTCGTCCCTTGCCTGTGGAATGTCCAGCTACTTGCATAGGATAACTGACCTGTCTTTCCTTGGGATGCCCTAAGGTTAAAGACTAGGGCAAAGGAAGGCTAATATATTTATTACTGTGAGGTATTCATTAAATCTCTGATCCATACTATATGTTGTATACATATTCAAGATGAAATTATTGAGAACCCAACAGTCCTCAATGCATCTTCCATCATCATTAGAACTATGAAGAAAGTAGCTATAGTTAGAATAATTCCCACTGAGGTTTGTAGGAAAAGGTATAGCTACACAAAATACCTAGGGTCCATTAGACTCAGGTAGTGTATCCTTGTGGAATGATCATGCCCTCTAAGATAGAGAATCTTACTTTATTTCTTAATTCTGGAAAACCCAGTCCTCCAAGAACCTAATATAATATTTGCTCAGGTGAATAAAATACCAGTATCTTCCTATCCTGATTCTCACTACTAGAAATGGAACAGATACAGTTTTCTAATAAACTCCTCATTGTCAAGACTCAATACTCATTTTCTGAAATGCAAGAACCAAACAGATTTGGATAACCCAGTATCTCACCATATCCAAACCTACTCTCTAAACTTTCACTTTCTGAACTCTGGAATTAAATAGATTTTGATTAGGAGGAACAGTTGTATTTCAGAAGAAAACAAGAAATGTAAATATAAAAGTATATTCATACGTACTGAATATGCATGTGTGTGTTCTAAGATGCCTAGCCCAAAGATTTCTAGCTGGTTAGTCAAAACGTTACTGTTAGGGGCGCCTGGGCGGCTCAGTCAGTTAAGCGTCTGCCTTCGGTTCAGGTCACGATCCCAGGGTCCTGGGATCGAGCCCCACACCAGGCTCCCTGCTCAGCAGAGAGCCTGCTTCTCCCTCTGCCCACCGCCCCCCCCACCCCCGCTTGTGCTCTCTCTCTTTCCTTCAGATAAATAATCTAAAAAAAAAAGTTATTGTTAGGTATCCACCAATTCCTAAGTGTATAAACTCTCCCTATAAGCTTTGCATACAGTTTGACTCTCCCACCCATAAACATATATGTATACAATGAAATTCTACAAGCCATTAAAAATGCAGTTGCTGGGCGCCTGGGTGGCTCAGTCGGTTGAGCGTCTGCCTTCGGCTCAGGTCATGATCTCAGGGTCCTGGGATCAAGTCCCACATCGGGCTCCCTGCTCTGTGGGGAGCCTGCTTCTCCCTCTCCTCCCCACTTGTGCTCTCTATCTCACTATCTCTGTCTCTCTCAAATAAATAAAATCTAAAAAAATAAATAAATAAATAAAAATGCAGTTGCAAGTTCTGAAAATCATTGATACTAACCTCCACTTGACTACCTGGAAATTGAGGCTCAACAAAGTGAGGAGTAAAAGGAAGTCAACCGCTGAAAAACTTGTATTGCACATGGCATACCTGTGCAAAAAACTTCTTCCCCTCTCTACTGAAATGTTCCATCAACATTCAAACATGAGCCCCTCTCCTCTGTAACTACCTCCTCTCTTTCAGCTAAACTACACATAATAGCATGTATTCATTTTCTGTTCATTCCTGAACCCATCACAACTGATGCCTGACCTAATCCCTCTATCCAAACTCAGTAAAATCAGTATCTATTATTGGATACACCTAGTAAATATCTCTTAAATCAGTCTCTTATATCATCATTCTTACCTTTCTCCTCCACCCATTATCACCCTCTAATGTAATGCTAGTTTTCTGCCTCATCTCCCCTTTTCAATTCATTCTCTACAGAGTAACCAAATAAATTTCCAAAACACAGATGTGATCATGTCGCACACACAATCAAAACCTCATGCTACTCCCTTTAAAACCCAATTGCTCTTAGGATTACATCCAAACTTCCAAATAATTGAACGCTGCCTACATAACACTGCAGGACACAGCCCCCTACACACTTTTCTAGCCTCATGTCCTACCACTTTCTCTCAACTAGTGTTGCTTTATTTCTTTTCAACCTCACCAAGCATCTTGCTCTTTCTGAATCTTCAAATATGGCATAGTCTCTACTGGAACAAACCATATCTATTTGAGGAACTCCATTTATCACTGTATAATCCAGAAGAATAGTCTCCTTATCTCATTTTTTACTGAAGTATAAACTCTGCATAAGAAAATGGTATTCAATAAATATTTGTTGTCACAATCACAAAATACAATAAAGACACTTCATGGGAAAGACTGGTTTGCAGAAGATCTAGCGTCATGGCTAAAATAAAAAGACCATAGTAAAACTGTTCCCTAAATAGTAGCAACAAAGAGACTTTATGGTACTTTCAGAAGCAAAAATGAAATAAACTGAAACAATATGATCACTTATTCAAATACTTATTTCTAAGGTAGAATGAGGAATATTTTAAAACCTTTCACTCACAAGTTTTTCTTTCTCTAGTTTTTGTAGTAAACTCTCCATGTTACTTCCAATTCTTGTTTTTTCTATAACTTCATAAAGGCTGCAATACATTCCATTCTTCAAAACTGACATAAGAAAAAACACACTGTAAATACTAAATCAAATCTGCTTTTTATATATTTTAATAAAATTAAATTACTTACCTTCACTTGGACCTAAGTATGTTTCCTTATAAAACAGCGCTGGAGGGATTTTCTGTTTCAGATGATCAATACTCATAACTGTTTCAACATCTAACTTTTCAGGACTGAAAGAAAATTGAAATTTGCCTTACCTATATGTTTAACTCTAGTAATGTTATTTCCTCCCCTCCCCTGCCCACATGAGGATCTTGGTGGAAAGCAGAGCACACTTATTAATATCGTAGTTGATTCTAAAGAGGATTTGATATGGGAAGTCCAGATATATACAGAAGTAGAAAAAAAGACTGGCAGCATCACCAACCTTCCATCTTTAAGCCAGAAGCTAATCCTATACACCAATTTTACTAAACCAAAAAGAATAAAAGGCTGTCCTTTTATTAAAATTTCAAGTATGAACTGTTAATCTTCAAACATTTATGAAGGCCCATAATATTTACTGGGGTAGTAGCAAAAGATCATTCTAGACCTTTCTATTCCAATATATGCTGCACAGGACTGAAGAGTCTATAAATTTTAACTTCACTCACCACATCAAAGCCATTTCCAACAAAGAACTGATAACTTTTAAGTCTATCATGTTCAAATTGCTAAATGAAAAATATATCTAATTAGGATAAAACTTTGAAAAATCACTTTTAAAATTTATAATCACTTAGAAAAAGTTTTATGCCATAAATGTGTATGACTATTTAGCCCACTCTCAAACCAAGACAGAAAAGTAGAGGGCTCATTTTGCCAACTAAGTCTCCCAAGTTATCAATTTTTTAAAACAAATCAACATTTATATTCTTTTGGACCAAAGTAAAATTTAAATATAAGAATAAAAAGCAAGAGAAGAAACTGAATAGTTAGCAACCATTAATTGCTATTTTCTTATAATATAACGTACTTACAGCTTGATAGGCAAAAAAGCACGAGTGGCTGACCTCAGAGAAATATAACACAAAAGCTTTCCTTTATTTAAAAGCTGTCCTTTCCACAAGGTGTAGTTAAATTTATCTAAATAAAAAGAATAACACAATTCAGCCACTGGCAGCCCAGAAGCAAATATATGCTTACTAGATGGAAATAAGGGAAACACATCTAGAGACAATGTTTAAGTAGAAGAACAGCAACAACAACAAAAAACAAAATGAACAAAAAACACCCATGACATTTCTATTTACAAGAGAGTTCAAATATTAGGATTTTTGTTTCAGTATCTTTTCTCTTGCAGGGCTATTCCAGCTGCAAAAAATAACAAATTTATTTGTCTAAATGTCTGTATATCAGAAAGTTAAAGAGCAAAGACAATATATTTACTGCCCTCTCACTTCCCCCAAAAGAGACTATATTAAATCCAGTTAACTACATGGATTCCTAAAAGCATCTCACACCCTCTACTCACTCTCTTTTCATTGTGGAGAAACTTGATGACAGAAAATGTCAGTAATGCTTTTAATCTTCTCTAGGTCTTATAAATCCTAAACCTCTGATAAATACAGTATTTGAAAAAGCTGAGTTGTGAAGTTTGTTTTATTTTTTATATTTATCCAAGTGCTAAAATCCTTTGGTCTATTCACAGTATTAGCAGCTTCCAAGAGAGACCTTATACTTGAACAACCAAATGTTGAAGCTACATCATAACATGGCCTCACCTCCTTTATCAGACTTTGCAGGTTTTTGTTCATTATAAAAATAAAGCAAAACACTAATTTTTTACTATATGTGCTTATTTTTCCAATTTATAAAACTAAAGGAAAGAAATAATCTTACCTGTGTTTCTATCTGCATTGAAACTGTTAGATCTATAAATAAATTCAAAAACAAAAAAAGAAAAATATTACTGACTGATAACAAGAAAGTTAACATTCAGGACCTTGACATAAGTGCTATTTTTAATAGTGTAATATACAAGAAAATTAAGTCCTTCATCCAAGTAGGAAGAACATATTAACTACTTATTATAACATTTAATAGATCCAAGTCTACACGAAGCAAACAGTTACTTGGCTCAAATTACCGTATCTGTACAAATTTATGAGAGCTATTTTTCCCAAAAAGTCATCAGGAGATAACAGAGTTCATTAAAGTCTCTGTGAAATATTTTATTTTGGTGATGAGATTTGAAGAAATAGCCTCAATATATATTTAAACCTATTTATTAAATATTAAATGTTTAATATTAAATATTAAACCTATTCAATAAATATTTACCAAGCTCCTATTATTTACCAGGCACAGTTCTAGGTAACAGGATTACTAGGATGAACAAAGCCCCTGCCTTCACAGAGTCTACAATCTCATGAAGAGAACAGACAACAATAAAAAATTGAGTATATAGTTTACCAGATGATGATGGTTTTAAGTGCTATGGAGAAAAAGACAAAGCAACTAAGGGTATGGGGTTAAAAATAAAAATCTTGGAAGACCTTGCTGATAAGGTCACCTTCCTTAAGATTTTTAGTTTATTTGACAGAGAGAGAGACAGCGAGAGAGGGAACAAAGCAGGGGGAGTGGGAGAGGGAGAAGCAGGCTTCCCGCTGAGCAAGGAGCCAAATGTGGGACTCGATCCCAGGACCCCAGGATCATGACCTGAGCAGAACAAAGGCAGATGCTCAACCATCTGAGCCACCCAGGCACCCCTGATGAGGTCACCTTTAAGGAGAGATCTGATAAAAGTGTTAAGTGTAAATGATGCCACTAACTGGGAAAAGAAAACAGCAAATGCAGAGGTCCTGTGGCAGAAGCACTCAAGGCAGCATTCAAGGTATAGCAAGGATGTTCAATCAATGCTCGTTTTAAACGATACAGAGATCAAAAGATGGAATCAAAGAAGAGGCAAAGAAAATTAACAGACAGTTACCTTTCCTGGAGGTATGACCTCATAATTAAGTGCTGGGTGTCTTTAAAGATTACTGTTGAAAGGCACTATTTTAAACAAATCATGGAAATCATAAATACAGAGCCACAAGAAAGATGAAAATCACAAGTGTCTGGATATCATATGAATTGCTACTTATGGCTATGGATAGATGGTTACCAGAGTTATTTGCTGACATGAAAAAAGTGTGCTGGATCTCAACTTAAAGGAAGACATGATTTGATCTGGAAAACCAATGAAAAGACTGACCTCAAAAAACGTACGTATTTCATGAAATGTGGCTTTTTAAAACAGTATTTCTAAATTAATAGGTATCAATTTTTCCAACATTTTTCTGAAACCACCACATGGGAATAAAATAAGGGAAATTGCTTTGTTATTTTGTCACTTTACACTAGAGCTTGTAAGATATCACCAGTGGTACTCAATTCACTAAAAATCAGAATCACCTAGAAGCTTTTAAAATTACCAATGCCTAGACTACTTAATAAACATTTGATTTTTTAGTTGGTTTGAGGTGGGACTGGAGCATCTTTTATAGAAGCTCCCCATTTCTAGGAGCACTAATACACAAAATTTCACTTTTAAAAACTGCATTTTACTCAACTATGCAAACCTTCAATATCAAGAGAAAAAGGGTTAACTGGTGAGGTTTAAGTAAATTTTAGTTTGTATTTCCACATAAATTATGTTCTTCACACTGACCTTTTAAAAGTCATCATGAACACTCATGCATCTAACCGCCAGGTAAGAAAAAAAATGGGAAGAAAACAAAGTGTTCCTCCTAATTCAGCAGGGCAGGACATGTAAAATAATATTCTGGTTGATAACATTCTGGATGAAGTCTAAAACTCATGAATCTTACCTTGATGAAGGCACAAACTTTGGAGTCTGTATATCATCTTTGTAAGTAAAAGATACAACCGCATATGGACATACATGTCTTGGTCTTCGCCTGAGTTCATCAAAGCTATACTCATAAAAATAATACTAAAAATAAGAAAATGCAAAATTAACTTCTGTAAGACAAGATGTACACAGTACAATCTTTATTTGCCTGATTTTTGAGAAATATAACACCATTTAAACCTCTAACAGACACTATCTTTAAGCACTGCTTATCAATTTAATTAAAATAATTTGTACCTTATATTCATTTTATGATATAAAATATTCGCCTTCTCTATCTCAGATGCACTAGTAGGTACTCTAAAAGCCTACTTCTGAAAAGCTTACCCCTGGGAATGTGCAACAAATTTCCTCACAAAAATGTTACAAATGGACATCTGTAAGTTCCCAAGTCAGCCCAGAAAAGTCAATTTGATACAAAAAAGTAAAATGCTAAGGACACAATCTCAACCAAATCTAGCATTTTTTTCTTTTCTTTTTTTTTTTTAAGATTTTATTTGAGAGAGAAAATGAGTGAGAGAAAAAGCACAAGCTGGGGCGGGGTGGGGGGAGGCAGAGGGAGAAGCAAACTCCCTGCTGAGCAGGGAACCTGATGTGGGGCTTGACTCCAGGACCCTGGGATCATGACCTGACTGAAGGTAGATGCTTAACCAACTGAGCCACCCAGGCCCCCTGTTCATTATTTCCAAAGAAAAACATATTCTTGGTTCCAACTGCAGACCAAGCAGCAAAGAGGAGGTGGAAGAGATTATGAACACAGGTGACAAAGGTAGCTAATTCTCTTCTTACTACCCATCTGCCTCTCCCCTTCACCTATTCACAACATTCATTAGGGTTTTGTGACTTGCAGACTAGTGATTTTCATTAAAAAGAATGCTCTAGTTTATAAACAAAGCATTGCCCTTCAAAGTCCATTCCCTTGGGAAACTACTGATTTCAATGTTGTTGCTGCTCTAAAAATGCCTGAAAATTTTTTGGAAACATCAAACTAGTTTACAAGTTTTGTTAGAAAAACCTACTACTTTAAAAAAAAAAAGAAAAGAAAAAGTTACTGCTACTTTCTGCAACTACTGCCCAAAAAGTAATCAAATGAGCCAGCCCAGATGACTTTGGTGAATATAATTTTTGCTAAAAGCCCCCAACAATACGTCTTGCTTGCCCATTCAGAGTCTTCAAAAAGAGTCAATTATACTTCAATTTATTTATTTTTGCTTTTTTTAAGATTTTATTCATTTATTTGACAGAGAGAGACACACAGCGAGAGAGGGGAAGTGGCAGGCAGAGGGAGAAGCAGGCTCCTGGCCGAGCAGGGAGCCTGATGCGGGGCTCGATCCCAGGACCCTGGGATCATGACCTGAGCTGAAGGCAGACGCTTAATGACTAAGCCACCCAGGCACCCCTATACTTCAATTAAAAAAAAAAAAAGTTTCACTTACAACTGAGTGTTAGAACAAGGAACAAGAACAAATTTTATTTTATATAAATAAAGTGAAGATTAAAGAAAAAAAAAACATCTCCAGGGGGGTTAGCATACCACACTCCTTTTCCCATACAATCCATCTGGCTATACACATTTTTTATACATTTGTTAAAAAAATAGCATTCATTTTTTATATAAAGTTTTATATAAAGTTTATATTATTAATTCCCCATTACTTTATACAATAGTCCCCCCCCATATACATAGTTTCACTTTCCAGTTTCAGCTTCTGTAATCAACCATAGTCCAGAAGATGTTCCTCCTTCTGACAAATGGTCAGAAAGTCAACAGTAGCCTAACATTACGTCACAGTAACTACGTCATTCCCCTCACTGCATCTCAGCATGTAGGCATTTTATCATTTCATATCATCATGAGGTTGAATACAGCACAGTGAGATTTTGAGAGACTATAATAACTTTATAGTATAATATTCTTATTTATTATTATTGTGATTAATCTCTTACTGTGCCTAATTTATAAATTAAACTTTATCATAGGTATGCAGGCATAGGAAAAACATAATACATACAGAGTTCAGTACTATCCGTGGTTTCAGGCACCCACTGAGAGCCTTGGAACGTATCCCTGAGGATAAGGGGGGGGCGGGGACTATTGTAGTAAAACATCATATAAAAACATAGTGACTAAAATTCGGCCAACAGGGGCGCCTGGGTGGCTCAGTCGTTAAGCGTCTGCCTTCGGCTCAGGTCACGATCCCAGGGTCCTGGGATCGAGCCCCGCATTGGGCTCCCTGCTCGGCCAGGAGCCTGCTTCTCCCTCTCCCACTCCGCCTGCTTGTGTTCCCTCTCTAGCTGTCTGTCTCTCTCGCTCTAATAAATAAAATCTTTAAAAAAATTAATTAATTAATTAAAATTCGGCAAACATACACTTTTTTACTGTATCATTTTAAAGCTTAAAATTTAATTCTAAGTTTGCATCTTAGAAAAATGTTAAAATAAAAAAAATCTATCAAAGCAATAGCATAAAATTACATGAATTAAGGTAATTCAAGGGGCTTCAACTTTAAAGGATGAGTAGTATTTTATTAGGCAGGAGATCTTTCTAGGCCAGAATCTGGGCCAAGAGAAGCCAAGGCTTCAAAATGAAATGAGGTGTGTTGAGGGCAGCGATCATACAAAATACAAGGTTGGAAGAACTAGACTAAGGAATCTTAATATTACTCTGTAAGTCTAGGGAGCCACACTATGTTTCTGAGCTGTCTTGAAAACATGAACAAATAGCAGTGAGAGACACTCCAGTAGTGTTATATGGACACCCAGAGGTTAGACTGGTGTGGTGGCAGAAGGTACAGAAAGGGAAACATTAAAGGATTTGGTGACAAATAGATATGAAGTCATAACACTGAAATGAATCCAAGCACCTACCTGAGTAAGCTCATAGGCTCTGTAAGCCAAAAGTGATGTAACTCTATTGGCATTCTTTGACACGTGACATTCATGCTTTGGTGTTGGGTCCAAAGCACTTTTATTTAATATAGATTCCAAACTTTTAACACCCATGGGGTCGTATATACTCTTTATTTTACCCTAAAATAGACAAAACCTTTTAAGTCCACCTAAACTTATTATTGACTATATAACATTATAAAATACTTCTCCAAATACAGATCACCTATGACAACAGTTCTTTCTTTTAATACCTGGTAACACTCGACACATTTTACCAATGTTGAAGCACCAAAAATGACAACTAAAAAGGTGCTGTTTGAATTTGCTTAATAACAAGAAAATAAAAATTTTATTTACAACACCATTCACTTAAATGACATTACCAACATATTACCCTCTTTATTCTTTTCTTTGGGAAGGAAACCAAATAGATCAAAGATGGCAAACCACTCTCGAAAATATCTTTATATACTAAACTAAGCAAGGACTGATTTTAATTTAATCAAACTCCTAAAGACAGGGACAACTAAAATCCAAATCAAATGTTGTCCTTGATATATGAAATGTAAATGTTAAAATTACCTTCATTATTTTAAAAATAACAACATCGCCCACTGCCCCAGGTTCCAAAGGATTAGCTTGTAATAAATCAGCATACCTAGAAAGATAGATACCTAGTGAAGAGGGAAAAATTAAAGAATTTGAATAAGGGCACAAATACAAAAAAGAAAATCCAAACATTTAACCTAATGATAAGAGATAAAAGGTATGACACCTTTAAAAATATAATGACAGTAAAGAGAACTGATATTTAACCAAGACAGAAACAACAAAAAGAACCAGAAACATGAAACTAAGACAAAGTTTCTCAAAATCACCAGGACTACACTGACTTTAAAAAAGAAAAAAAAGAGAGATAATCTTTGATCAATCTGAAGTAAGCAAAATCAGAAACAAAGGGTAAAACTGGTTTCACATTACAGAACCTGAAACTATCCTCCTTTTCTGGGAATATGACAAGGCATACATGAATTTATTTTTAAGGAACGCAGCAAAATTAAATAGTATGTTTAAAAGGCAACAGTAGATAAAGGGGAAAAAAAAAAAAGATTACCCATGGAAGGACTGCCAAGAATTGTTATTTTGGACTGGCCCACTTGTAATCCTTTTTCACATATGCTTTGGACCTAAATAAACAAAACACTTCATCTCACAATCATAATACATTAAAAACATGGAAAGATAATTTGTCAACTTGCTCTATAAAACCCAAGCTTCTAAACTTATGTAGGTTCTGCATTACAGAAATTTTATAATAATGACAGTTTATGACTAAATATCAATGTGAAACTGGCTTATGCTTCCAATGTAACCATAGCTGGAATCCATTTTTGTTTATACTAGGTGTGACAGTCAGAATTCATGCCACCCACATATATAAACATTCCCTTTTAGAGAGAATTAGAACTGGCAAAATATTTAAATAAAAATTCCACCTAAACATCTTCAATTGAAGGAGAAAAAATAGTTCCCAGCACATATAACCAACAATACATAAGATAATCTATTTTAATAAAGGGAGAATTATTCATTATCAAGCACATCTTAGGGAAAGAAAACAGGTTTGGTCAGAAAAAATATAAGCACATCTGAAAAGCAAATTACATGACAATGAAATACCTTGCCCTACTAAATCATTTCTTCCATTTATACCTCATATCATTTATACTAACTTATAAAATAGTAGTTTATAATTGTCAAGTGTACTGTTACATTGTAAAACTAGTAACTTAATGGAAACATCCTCAAATTGTTTTTTATAAAGAGTTCACTCACCTGGTATCGATCAACCATAAGAAATGCATAGGATTCTGAAAGTTCTTTATCTAAACGACCATCAAACTTCAGTTCTCTTCGCTTTTCTGTGAACTAAACAAAATTAAATCTTTAACAACTCCTTAGTATGTGATTATGTCTTTCAAGCTAAGAGCTTCAGTAATTTTATTCCTAAGAAATCCAAATGTAACCAAAGTAGAAATTATCTTTTCTCTCCCTGTAATTTCTGTGCTTCGATTTTTTCCTCATTATAACTAGCTCTTTACCTCATAATAATCAAATAAGCATCTAGTGTTTATCAATTTTAACTAAATTTCTACTAAAATTTTACCACATTCCAACTCTCCCACAGATTTTTAAGTTCATGTTTTAGTTACCTTTGGATCTCTCACTTTACTTAACATGATGCACTGCATACAGTAGGTGGTTTAATAAATCTCTGCTGAATGATCAACTTTTGGACTATAAACTCAATTAGGACATGGAAAAGGTTCCATTTCTTTTTTTTTTTTTTAAAGATTTTACTTATTTGAGACAGAGAGAATGAGATAGAGAGCATGAGAGGGGGGAGTGTCAGAGAGAGAGGCAGACTCCCTGCCGAGCAGGGAGCCCGATGCGGGACTCGATCCCGGGACTCCAGGATCATGACCTGAGCCGAAGGCAGTCGCTTAACCAACTGAGCCACCCAGGCGCCCAAGGTTCCATTTCTTTAAAACTATAGTCTCAATGCCAACTATGTAAGACATGTTCCTTACATATTGCCAGGATAAAAAAGCAACTTTGTCTAAGTATAACTAAACTGCAAGTCACTGACTTTCACTTTTACATACAAGCAAACAGATATACATTCAAAATATGGAGCTCACATCTAATAGATTTATATGCAGTATTCAAGTAATTACTGATGTTCAGTAATATGATTAATCATTAGACTAAATTTTCATATAAAATTAATAAATAACCCCTATCATACCATGAAACCACATCAAACCATCAAGGTTTTAATTTTCTTGGGGAGCCAGTAACTTCACGGATTCTCTCAAAATTCAATTCTGGTAGCACTGGGTTAACCAACTCACAAAAGTACATAATTAATAGTATTTCATGTGCACCAGGAAGCAATAAACACAAAATATTTCTAAACATCTCATTTATATCATCTCAGAATATGCATTCTGGCTTTTCCTAAAAATATTCTAATTTGTACATGAAACTTAATACTCTGTTTACATTTTTTCACTAAGAATTTCTACTAGCGATATTAAGAGAATTCAACTACTAAGCAATAACTGGGGAAAAAATTAAGCATATCCTAAAAAATATATACATTTGATTACCTTAATTATCTTCCAATTTAGACATAATATAGATTATAGATTTAATTAATATGCACTTAAAAGAGCAAAGGGCCTTATAAGTTTATAATTAAGCCATTATACAGTAAGCTATTCCTATGCTTAAGATTCATTTTTAATAAGTTATTTTACATAATTGAACATTAATTTATCCAAATAGTGCTATATCAACAATACTTTGAAGAAAAAAGATGTCATTTAAAACTTGTTTTCCTTTCCATAATTTGGCTTTCCTAAAAACTAGCGTTTTTAAAGAAAAGGAACATAAAACAACTTCCAGGCTATTAACTGGTTCTGAAGAATCTTACAATAAGCACAATTTAAAATATACCTCCTTAATTGACATACAATAAATTGCATGTCCTAAAAAAATAAAATAAAAAAAAAATTAAACATACCTCCTTTTCCAAAAGTTCATTATGTATCAAGCAAGCACGTTTGTAGTTAAAATTTGTTACTGAGGTTGGTTCAAGGTAAGATGAATGGAGAATATTTAGAACATCTTCAAATTCTCGAGTGCCTGGAGTTAATGGCTGAAAAAGTGCTAAAACAAACAAAAAAAATAATTTTAACATGATTCCATCTCAAATATAGTCTCTTAAATTTTGTGGGTTTAATGTAACTTTTAAGTGAAGTTGAAAAGTCATCAAGGCTATCTTATTTTGTGATATTCAAAAGAGACACTTATTAATTCACTGAAGAAAAATTACAGTTGCCTACATTGACCAGTTCCTTCAGCAATGAGCATTTGACATTACAGATTGGGACAAGAGGTTACGATTTTGCAAAAACTTAAGAATGCTACATTAGGCAACATAAATCGCTTTAAGACTCTCGTAAGAAAGAACCTGTGCGTATCCTCAACTTTTCTCCACTCCTATCTTATGTTACACTGAAATAGTATGTCTAGGACCATTTCCTTCAGCAAACTAAATGCTTACAGCATAAATGAATGTATAAAAACATTTAAGACACTTAGGTGTCTATAAAATTATTCTATTTGGTTTTTAGTACTAAAATTAGAATAAAATATGCTAATTCCGTTGCCTTCTTGTATTACCAACATAAAGTAGTAGAACATTTATTATGAAAGCTTAGTGAAATGGAAAGATGTAGAGCTTTGGAGTCAAGCCTGGACACAAATAACAAATCTAGCATATATTAACTTTGTGGGAGAGCCTGGGTAAATCAACCAAAAATAAGCTCAGTTCTCCAATCTGTAAAAAACTCTAGTTATCCTAATAACCACTAAATTCTACATTCCACACATGAGACAACACATGGAAAAAGCGCTAAGCACAGCATCCAGTATAAAGACAATGAAATTGTTTATCCCCCCTACAACTTTCCACACCCCCATTTAATTTTTAAAATACTTAAAAGTCAAATATCCAATTTGTTCTTGGACCAGTGGACTACTGGTCTAATAATTTCAAATTTCCACTTTATGCATGAAATAGTTTAACTTACTAATAAATTTCAAAAGTCTACACATATAAATGTTCCCTAAGCCAAAAAAGGAACCACTTATATTTCACTGTATATAGAAGTATCCATAGAACTTATGTTATACTGTATTACCTTAACTTCTTTTGAGATTTTATTTCTGAAGAGAATAAATGTCACAGTCAAAACAGTTTTAGGCTACTACTAAAAACAGTGTTCTGCTTGTACATATTCTTAAAGATACTAGAGAGCAGCTGTTTACTGTAGTTTCTATACATGGTGTTAGGTTTTGAAGGACATGATTTCAAATGACATATCCATCCATCCATTTACCACACTATGTATATATTACAAAAGTGTCTGTAGGGGCGCCTGGGTGGCTCAGTCGTTAAGCATCTGCCTTCGGCTCAGGTCATGATGCCAGGGTCCTGGGATCAAGTCCCACATCGGGCTCCCTACTCAGCGGGAAGCCTGCTTCTCCCTCTCCCTTTGCCTGCCGCTCTGCCTACTTGTGCTCTCTCCCTATCTCTCTGTCAAATAAATAAATAAAATCTTTAAAAAAAAAAAAAAGTGTCTATAAAAATGTAACATTCAATAACAAAGGGTATATAAACAGTTCCTACTACTTTGTGATCCCACACTAAAAGAAATAAAGCCAACATAGTTATGATGCAATAGACACTAACTAGGGGTAAGCGGGGGGGAAAAAATCACTCAAAAGAACATACTATTAAATACAAAATGTGTCCTATAATCAAATTTGTTGATGAATATAGTCAATAATCTATTGATTGTTAAGGTCCACAAGAGCAAGAACTGCATCTGCTTTGTTCATTACTCTTATCTTTATCATATGCCAGTAGCTAGAACTGTGAGCACTGGCCCCAAGTAAGTTGAATAACTAACTACGTAAGTTAGTAAAGAAAATAATAAACTTTGTCAAAGATTTTTTTAAAAACTGAATACAAATATATTCTACAACTACCAAAGCATCATCGCTATCATTTTAAGTCTTACAAATTCACCAATTCAGTAATATGTAAAACAAAATGAAAGCTTAAAAGAGGAAGAAATACACCCTCATTCAAATCTGTTTTACAGAATGTGGTAGGAAAAATCATCTTTGTGACTGTTCCCAACTAAGTTGGGAAAAACTTGGCAAGGAAAACAGCATGTGGAATAGTCCTTATAGGCTTTCACATCCAAAATGGGTTAGGTAGGATTTTAAAAATTGGGTTTTATGCAGGACTGATTTTTGTTTCTAACAAAGTGACTTTAGACATCTAAAATGGCTCCGCCCAAAAGTACCATATGGCATTAAACTTCTATGAAATTTTATACGCCTAAATTATTTTCCTTAGTTAAGCTGTCCAACACTATTCCCACCACTGATTTAATCATAAATGAAAAATTAAATCATTTTAATTTACATAGAAATTAACATTCCAATTCTCAGAGAAGTACTAAACAGTTGTTTTATTCCAAAGTATGTCCTATAGTCACGTCAAATGTACTCAAGTAGACTGCCAGGGGGGAAAAATTATAGATGAAAATATAGAAAAAAATGCCTATGTTCGAGGTATTTTCTATTTCAAATGACTCCGTTGGCTTTACTACTTAGGCCAGTTATAATTTTTTCCCCTCCCAGTTATCATTTCTACAAAAATAATGTAACTATTTTTAAGGATTTCAAGTCAATGTGCTGGTATTAATTAGAAATTTAACAAGTTTATGTTCTGAATGTACATTCCCAAGTTGCCTATTTTGTACTTAATAATCCTCTTAACACTGAATATCCTTTGATCACTTCTCTTAAAGAAAAAAACGTATGTACCATAATCTTAATTATGGGTCATTTGAGGCAATAATAAACAACCCTGTGATTATCCAAATGGGGAATAGAACATCTTATATATAGTAATTATTTCACTTAATAAAGTATCCAATATATTTTTCTCTGGATTCTGACAATTACTGAGTCTAATCATTAGCGGGGTCATTATTACTATTCAGATACTATACTGTTTACATGCATTATCTCATTTAATCATTAAAACCATCGTATGAAGTTCAATTATACCCATTTCACAAATGAACCTAACAGCTAACAGCTAATGTGGCCCAAGGTTACACAGTTAATGAATAAATAGGGCAGATAGAATTCAAATTCAGGCCACCTAGCTCCAAATCTTGTATCCTGAGCTCTAAGTAAAAGAAAAAAAAGATTTATGTATGTGTATACAAGAGCTGAAACTAATCATTACAGAGCTGGAAAAATAAAATCATTTCCTTTTTAGACCAAGAAATTATACAGAATGCTTAGACACAAGAAATTAGGTATAAAAGGAAAAGAACTTGATGTCCAGGATTATGCTCTTTATAGCTTATGTGGCTTCTATAAAAGCTCTTTTCTCATTTTAATGCATTTAACAGGGCCAAAAGCCATCATACACTTTTTTGATTTATAAAGGTTAACAGAAGTAACAATAGTTCTTCCACACATTGAAAAACATAATTTTGGGCGCCTGAGTGGCTCAGATGGTTAAGCGTCTGCCTTCGGCTCAGGTCATGATCCCAGGGTCCTGGGATCGAGTGCCGCATCGGGCTTCCTGCTCCTTGGGAGCCTGCTTCTCCCTCTGTTTCTGTCTCTCATGAATAAATAAATAAAATCTTTAAAAAAAAAAAAAAAAGAAAAACATAATTTTGCTTATTTGCAGGATTTCTATCAAATACATGTAAGACACATGGCTAATGAGTTGACTTTTGTCAATTCACAAGGTTCCTTACTGACAAAATTGATTATAAATGTTTTATGGGACTGAAGAGCAGATTTAGAAAGACACAGGAGATTTATAATTCAGACAAGGAAAAGGATTGTATCACAGAATTAGAACTAGAATTCAGGTCTCCTGACTTCATATTATCCATGCTATTATTGAGTATCTTTTTTATAACTGGTAGCATACAAAAAATTTAGGGGCGCCTGGGTGGCTCAGTCGTTAAGCAACTGCCTTGGGCTCAGGTCATTGTCCCAGGGTCCTGGGATCGAGCCCCACATCGGGCTCCCTGCTCAGTGGGGAGCCTTTCTCCCTCTTCCACTCCCCCTATTTGTGCTTTCTCTCTCGTTGTGTCTCTGTCAAATAAATAAAAATCTTTAAAAAAAAAAAAAATTCAATTTAATGTTATATTTAAGCAGTTGGAATAGACATAAAATTTAGGTCATGAAACAGCTTGGTTCCTTAGTCAAAGGAACATTTTTTTCAATTTTACCAATTTACTTAATTCAATGCCATGTATTAAGATGTGTATATGTAAAAGAAAACCAAAAAAACCATATCAACATCTATGTAAAAACAAACTAACTTTTAAAATAAAAGACCACTGTTACCAAAACATACAAATAAGACAATGTGAACTACACATTCCAATTTAAAGTAACTAATTCATGGAAGAAAAGGAAATAGCCAAGAGTGGGCTGTGGATCATGTGTGTTCTGCAATTCTCTGAATCCATCTCTCTGATGTCTACTGGTATTGATTAAAATACAACAAATATCCATGTTCCAATAATTTACTTGAAAGACTTTAAAAATCATTTTTCTTCAGTCTAATAAAATTGCTACAGACATAATACTTTAGGAATGGCGGTTTCATCTCTAAATAAAGACTGAACATAGTGGGGTGCCTAGTGGTTCAGTCAGTTAAGTGTCTGCCTTTGGCTCAGGTTATGATCCTGAGGTCCTGGGATTAACCCCAGCATAGGGCTCCCTGCTCAGTAGGAAGTCTGCTTTTCCCTCTCCCTCTGCCCCTCCCCTACCCACTGGTGCTCTCTAATAAATAAAATCTTTACATAAATAAATAGAACATAGGGCAGAATCAAGAATGAATAGGCTGGCAGGGACTAGAGAGACAAGTACAAATATTAAACTATTGACTTTTTCTGGCCTGGGGAATAAGTCAAAGAAAATTTTACTTCTATTACTTAGAATGTATATACACCTATCAAATGTTTATACGGATGACAGGATTGTGCCAATACTTCCCTGTTTATTTCTATGCAGGGAGATCTATGGTACTTAGAACCCAATCATCCATATACAACTACTGAAACACCATGCAAATATCCTCAAAGGAGACTCTGCCCCAAAGCCTTCAAAAAGACAATTACAAATTTTTGGGAAAAGATGGCTGTTAGGGAGGAGAATTAGCCATTAATTCTGCTGGACTAGACCAGTATGGATGCAGGTACATGAGTAGCCTTGTGCCCTACATAAAACATTAACCAGTAAACATTTTCCGGAAAGTGAATCATCACTATTTCATTCCCAAGAACTTTGGAGGGAAAAACTGTATCAAATTACCAATTTTAATTTGCTTTTAGACTTATAGTATTAGATTTTAAAGTAAAAAAAGGCAAGAGTGAAACATCTACTGACAAAATGCAATTGTACAATTTGGTTAAATGTCAAAACAGTGCCTCTTTACACTATAGAAAATAGCCCAGCCAATAAACACCACAACATACATCAAAGAATAAATTTTACTCTTCCAGTCAATAGTTACGTCACTTAATCTGTCAGTACTGATTAAATGTGTTAATTTCATAATGAACATAAGTTCTGAATCTCAAAATACCCCAGAGATGAAGATATACTAAATATTTCTAAATGTTACAGAGAGTAAAAAAAATTTTTACTAGATCAGATCAAAAGCTAACAAAAACACTTAGATTACAAAGAAAGAAGTCTTGTTGCAGTTTGAGTAGTGGTAAGTACTATACACTTACCAGCTGTAAGTTCAAATTCCAACTCTATCTTTTACTAGCTGTATGACCTTGAACAAGTTATCTGACTTCTCATTACTTCGGTTTCCTCATCTGTAAAATGGGAATAATACCTACTACATGGAATTGTTGAGATTCAGTTAATATGTGTAAAGTGCTTTAAACAATGCCTCCAACTTACTGATAAGCACTATAAAGTGTTTGCCAATATTATTAATTAGAATGGCAGTATTCTGGATGTCATGCTATTGTCAATACCAAAAAAATAACTTGGAGTCAGGAAGTTATACTCACGTAGTATTTAAGGTACTAAAAATAGTCAAGTCATAATGTTAAATTTCACTGGAAAAGTATAGTCACAAGCAAAGGTCTGCCATATTAAAATATGAATGCAAAATAATCTTTGATACTGAAAGGTTCAGAGGTATCTACTGAAAATGATCTAAAATTCATGATAAAAGACTCAGATGACCACAACTAGTATCTAGCCAAATCCTGTACATAAAGTGATACCTTTCAAGAGATGATTTGGGGATGAACTGTGAAACTAGCAGCACCTGCCATACTATTTCTGATAAAGCATTTTTTTAAATTATGAAGACCTCAATTTTTCTATTAAATTCTATCACCAAACACTATCTTCTTTCAGCTTGGACAGGATAAAGTCCATGGTGGTAAAATAGCTGCTTATTTAAGTTTTAAAAAACTCTATTTAAATCGTTACTGCATCATTTGCACAACTGCCGCTTAGTGCATAAATTATTTTCACTAAACATGAAAAAAGTCCAGTGTGTTTTATTTTCCTTACCTATAACCTCCCTGACAAGACAAAAGTTGACAACCTTTTGCCTCTAAGTGAAAATAGAAAACATAAATTTTCCCCAAGGAGCATCAGACTCAGGGGAGAAAGCAACCAGGTTTTAGATTTCCTAATTCCTCAATTATATTCACTTCTAGTGTGTTCAAATAAAGCCTATATTACAGTAACCTCTGGATTTACCTAATTAAAAAAACCACATGTAAACACAGTGCCTTTCAATATTTCCTGGTGACTTCCCTAGTGGCAAACCAAACTATGAGGATTTCTACAACAATATTCTGGTCCTATCAAAAGTTAAAAGACGGTAAATCCATGGTTTAAGATGTACCATAAACCGTATTCTTGGGCACTTAAAAGAGGAAAAAAAGGAAAACAAAAAAAATGGACTTCAAAATTTTATCAAGCTAGGAACAATTTGAAAAAAGTTCAATCTCCTACCTCTTTACCACAGCCCACCTGAATGTACTTCCAACCTACTCTCTGCCAATTGGTAATTTAGGATGAGCAGCTACATTTCCTCATACAGACTATACATCTTAACCAAATAAACCAAAGAATTGACAGCCCTGAGCTTTACAAGTATCCTCTTGAACTCTAAAATACATTAATTCGCTTAAAAGATATTTCTAGAAACATTCCTCATGCTAGTGGACAAAGGTAACTTCATTTTTGTCAACATCATTTCTCACACCAAGGATTTCCTTGGCTTTGTCATGGAAATAGAAATTAACAGTTTGACTTCATTTGTATCTTACTGATAAAAGGCTCTAACAATCTCAGTTGTGCAAATGGAGATACGCACATGGAAAAAGGAAGCTCATGCTTAATTCAAGATTCCAAATCTTTACTAAGATTTAAATTACAAACTAAAAAGCGTTCTGCAAAAAAAAAAAAAAAAAAAAAAAAATCCCTATAATTTTCCAAAAAGTAAATCATGAAAAACTAAACCACGCAGTAAAACAAAAAAACTTTAAATTTAGACTAAATCCAGAATATCCCAAATCACTGGATAGTCAAAAATAGTGTAACAGAAAACGGTAATACTAATTTTGATCTCCATTAGAAATGTGTCATAAAATAGCATTAAGTTTTAAACAGGTAAAAGTAGTTCATGTAACTGTTCCTAAATTGGTTCCAAAATCTAGACTGGCCTTTTTAAAAAACAAAACAAAAACTCTGAAGTTCTCTCGTCTGCAAGATCAAGTTGGTGACACTTGGGCATAAGCTAACTTCTGTTTTTTTCCATCGGGAAATTACTGCACCAAGAACCTACCTTCCCATTCTTCTCAAATACAAGAGAAAACATACTAAAGTTTGGATTTAAAGAGAGAGGCCTATTTAACCTAACGCTTCAAAAACAAGGGGAAAACTCTACATGGAAATGAAGTGTGATGGAAAATACCAGTGTGCATGGATCACATCTAATGGAGGTTTCTAAACAAGGGGGAGGCGCTGACATCGAGCAAATTCCAAGTAGACACTTAGAGCTGAAGAATTTCCAAAGGGAGAAGCACTCGTGGTCCTCTGAACGCAATGGCCTTGGAGAAAGCCCCAGAATCCATGGCCACGGGCTATTTCCAGTGAGACTTGTCAGAAGCATCCTTAGGAGGACACACCAGCTTCTGTGCCTTCAGGGGCTGGGAGGGAGGGGCGCCGAGCTCCATCTTTCCTCTCTGGGAGCTGCAGCCTTACGGACAAGCTTCAAACCTGAGCTACTTCCAACTTCCACGGGGACAGGGGAGCAGCGGAGCGTGGTTCCACCGCTTTCCTCTCGCACCAGGCGCAGCAGCTGGGTGGCCGTGATAGTGAGGGGAGAGGCGGCTGGCGCTGCATGCGTGTTTACGTGTCTCGGATGGGTGCGGGAAGAAGAGACAGAGAGGTTCTAATGAAAAGATGGAGGGGAGAGAGAAAGAGGGGTTGGGGAAGAGGGGAAGCACCACCTTTCTTTTCTCTGCTCTTCCTGGGGATCTGAAAACTCCTCCTAACGGGTCTTTCGGGCTCTTCCGGGCCTTTGAGGAGAGCGGCTGCGCCCGCCTCAGACGAGTCCTGAGGCTGCTCGTGGCTGACGCTCGGGGCGGCCGAGGCCGCAGCGGTCTCCTCAGGCCCGGCGCCGCCGCCGGGCTCCGCGATGCTGAGGCGGCGGCCGCCGCCGCCGCCGCCGCCGCCGCCATTTTGTGGGGAGGACTCCAGCTCCGGAAGCGCCTGCTTCATCTCGTCGTCTCCGCCGCCGCCACTTTCCCAGCTCGCATCCGTCGGCGGAGAGGCCTCCGTCTCCCCAGCAGTCGCCATCGCGCCGGCGTGACGAGCTCCGGGAAGCTTCTGCCGGCAAGGTCGGCGGGGGTGGGGGGAAGGGGCGGCGGGCCGGCCTCGCCACCAAGCTGCTCTCAGCCCACCCACTCCCTTCCCCCCGTGGCCGCGAGGCGCGGTCCCGGCCCAGCAGCCTCTCGGAGGCCCCAAGCTGGCGCCCCAACCGTGCCGCCCGTCCCAGGTGCCGCTCCTCGCTCGGACAGTTCTTCTGCCGGCCCCGCCACTCAACGTGCTCGCGTCGGGGCCGGGAGGGGGCGGGCTCGCCGCGGGCTGCTGCGCCAATGAGGGCGCGGCGCCCGCCTCCGCGGGTGCAGATAGACGGCGCAGGGGGGCGGAGCCTCGGGGCGCCCGAGCCCGCCAAAAGGGGCGACGGCAACGCCCTGCCAATACCTCGACGCCGCGGACCGCTTCGGAGTGCGTAGAACTTAAGGCGAACTGCACGTTCGGCTGTGACGGCTCCCGGCCAGACGTGCAGGGGAGGGAGGTGCGCCTGGACCGGTCCCGCGAGCCCAGGCGTCGCCTATCATAGTAATATAACACCTATCTCCGCGCACGAGTTTCCTCCACCAAAAGAGGAGTCAAGCAATGGATGCAGGAGGAACCCAGCTCTGTGAAATATTTACGTGCATATGTGGACCTGCAGAGGAGATAAGACAATGGACTACAGCGAAAACAACCTGAAAGCCTCCAGGCCCCACCATCTGCCTTTCCCACCTGATCTTGCATCTTTACATTTTCCCTGTCCCCTTTGATCTTAAAGGGTTAGAACCAGTGGCATGTCTCCAGCCAGCAATGCCTGGGATCCTTTTTTTTTTTTTTTTTAAGACTTTTTTATTTAAGACAGACTGAGTGAGCATGAGCAGGGGGGAGGGGCAGAAGCAGTGTGCCCGCTGAGCAGGGAGCCCGTCATGGGGCTCGAGCCCAGGACTCTGGGATCATGACCTGAGCCGAAAGCAGCCGCTTAACCGACTGAGCCACCCCGGAACTTCCAATACCTGGACTCCTTTAATGTGACCTCACAGCCTAGTGTTAACAAAATTTGGTTCTGGGGAGCTTAAAGGGAGGGTGGGGGTTGCTGGCTTCTAGACTTTTTTCCTTTGGTGTTTTGAGTTTTCCTGTGTCGAGTATATATGAAAGAAAAATCTAAAAGTTTACCGCCACATTAAAAGATATACAGCAGATGGGGTGCCTGGGTGGCTCAGTCGTTAAGCATCTGCCTTCGGCTCAGGTCATGATCCCAGGGTCCTGGGATCGAGCCCCGCATCGGGCTCCCTGCTCAGCGGGAAGCCTGCTTCTCCCTCTCCCCCTCTCCCTGCTTGTGTTCCCTCTCTCACTGTCTCTCTCTCTCTGTGTTGAAAAATAAAATCTTAAAAATATATATATATATACAGCAGGTGATCGCTCTCCCTTAAAACAATTTGTCAAGTGGAAGGCGTTTTAAATACTTGATGCTAACTAAATTGAAACTACTATCATGGGTTATCTTGAGTACAGACAGTATTCACAGGGTGCTTTCTGTACGCCAGGCACTGGACGAAGCCGTATACGTACTGTATCTCCATTTAATCCTCACAACAGCAGATATCAGGAAGATCTATTATGCACAATTTAAGTAAGTGTTGCAAGACATTGAACAATTTAAGTTAATAAAATCAGAATTTGAAGCAAGGTCTATTTAACTCCGACATAGAGTACTTGCACTTCGCTGTTTTTCTAAGACTTAATCTTCACAGCAGGACTGCACCTTTTATGAATTTTGTGGATGAAGAAATGAGGATAGATATTTTGCTCCAAGCAGCAGGATCAGGATTGGGACCCAGATCTCCATTTTCAAACTCCAGCTGTCTCCCAAGGAGTTGACTGACCAAACCTATATAATTATAACAAAACCCTAGGCCTTATGCCACGTGGGTACTACTTAAAGAGCATTCCCCAAGGGCAAGAGGAAAGTTGGATTCCTATGTCCTGTATTAAATAACATACCAGCTAATATGGAAAACCTAATCAAGCTTGGCCAATCTATTTGCATCAGCTCAGTAAATCACAGGAAAGGGAGTTTCAAACAATCACTAATAAATAATAAATAAAATCACAAATAAAAATATATATTTTTTATTAAATAGTTAATGTAAAAACCTTTTTAAATACTGATGAAAACACTAGGGGCTATGTTGAGACAAAATACATTATTATTATTTTTTAAAAGATTTTATTTATTTGACAGACACAGCGAGAGAGGGAACACAAGCAGGGGGAGTGGGAGAGGGAGAAGCAGGCTTCCCGTGGAGCAGGGAGCCCAGTGTGGGGCTCGATTCCAGGACCCTGGGATCATGACCTGAGCCGAAGGCAGACGCTTAACAACTGAGCCACCCAGGCGCCCCAAAATACTACATTATTTTAAGTTAAAAGTAACCTTTTTAATTTGGAGAAAGAGACTTTACTTAATATAAAAGAGGCTGCAGAAGATCAGAAGGAACTCAGATGTTGAGGTCTCCAGATAGTAACTCTTTTTTGTTGGTTCATTAAAGGCATCCATACAAGCTCATTTTTATCAGATTAAAAGATAAATAGGAACTAATTGCACGCTGGTGCCATTACTCAACTAACAGGCTTTTGTCATTCGCTCAGCAAAAGCCAACTTTACCTGAAAAGTAGAAACCCTTAGGCTATGAATAAAGCAAATATACAGGTTGTTGGTAGAGTACCTAAAACTTAGGCCAGAGAAACCATTTCTACAGAGATTGAATCTTAAATTTTGTGAGGACAAAAATTTTTTCCATTCCAAATCATTTATTAAAAAAATTTTTTTAAATGAATTTATCATTATACCTTATAAGGTACAAAAAATTGGGAAGCTCTAACATAATTTTAACTACTCAATTATTATAGATAGAAAAAGTTTTAGGTTTAGCTGGATCGCATTACTAATATTCAATATTAAAAATATTTTTTAATTGCTTATTGGGAGCTAAGCACTGCTATGTGCTGAGGACGTAACTGAAGCAAATGGGTATGGTTACCTCCTTCATGTTTACAGATCAGTGGGGAATATATGTAAAATTAGGATCTATGGTGATGGCTAAGTAGAGACAAAGAATCAGCTACAAGAAAGGGATAGAGGGGGCATAAATTTGCTAAATCCTACCTATCTCAGGAAAACTAACAATAAGACAGGTTATCCATATGTGTATTTATATATGCATGTATATAGATGTCCAGTATATGTATTTGGCAGAGGTGGGAGAATGCAAGGAGGGGAGCCACAACAGATGTACATGGTTCTGAAATAAAGGCTACCAACGGTTAAAAGTATAAAACCTATGTTGTCCCCTACCCACAGTAATGAACAAAACAATAACACAAAGAACATTAGAGAACAATATGAGACAGTATATAGTTAAATATTCAGGGACTATAATCACCTTTTAAAACTTGGAAACAGGGCACCTGGGTGGCTCAGATGGTTAAGTGTCTGCCTTTGGCTCAGGTAATGATCCCAGAGTCCTGGGATTGAGTCCTGCATCGGGCTCCCTGCTCCTTGGGAGCCTGCTTCTCCCTCTGCCTCTCTCTCTCTCTCTCTCTGTCTCTCATGAATAAATAACTAAAATCTTAAAAAAAAAAAAAAAAAACTTGGAGGGCGCCTGGGTGGCTCAGTCGTTGAGCATCTGCCTTCGGCTCAGGTCATGATCCCAGGGTCCTGGGATCGAGCCCCGCGTCAGGCTCCCTGCTCCGTGGGGAGCCTGCTTCTCCCTCTCCCACTCCCCCTGCTTGTGTTCCCTCTCTCGCTGTGTCCTCTCTGTGTCAAATAAATAAATAAAATCTTGAAAGAAAGAAAGAAAGAAAGAAAGAAAGAAAGAAAGAAAGAAAGAAAGAAAGACAGACAGTGGCCCAAGATCACGTTGCCACCAGTAAGAGTTAACATTTACTGAGCACTTGCTATGTGCCAGGCACTGGTATAAAAGTTTTACGTGTATTATTGCATTAATCCCCACAAAACGTACTAATGTCATCCCTATCTTACAGATAAACTGAAGCTGAGTGGTTATCTAACTTTCTTAAGGTCATTTAGATCATAAATGGCAGAACTAAGATTCTAACCCAGGCAGTCTGCCTCCAGAGCCCATGCTCTCAATAACCACTATATCATAATTTCTCTTGATAGTGGTAAAATAAAGTCCAGAATTCAGTGCGTTTTCCGCTATACAATTTCACCTCCCTTCCTCAAACAGTACTTTATTATTTTTTTTAAGATTTTATTTATTTATTTGAGAGAGAGGATGAGAGGAGAGAAAGAGCACATGAGAGGGGAGAGGGTCAGAGGGAGAAGCAGACTCCCTGCTGAGCAGGGAACCCGATGCGGGACTCGATCCGGGGACTCCAGGATCATGACCTGAGCCGAAGGCAGTCGCTCAACCAACTGAGCCACCCAGGCGCCCTCAAACAGTACTTTAAAAGACAGATTATAAGTGGTATAGAGTTCCTGGGTGGCTCAGCTGGTTAAGCATCTGCCTTCTGCTCAGGTCATGATCCTGGGGTCCTGGGATCGAGTCCGCATCAGGCTCCCTGCTCATTGAGGAGCCTGCTTCTCCCTCTCCCCTTGCTCCTCCCCCTTGCTCATGCTCTCTCTCTCTGTGTCAAATAAATAAAATCTTTTAAAAAAGGAGAGATTGTAAATGGTATAACAACAAGAACTATCTGTATTACTGATGGATAAACCTTTGATCTAGCAATTTTACTTCTAGAAATTTATGGTACAGATACACTCATTCACATTCAAGATGTTTATTTAAACATATCTACTGTTGTTTATAATGGGATATCAAGTGTTTGTAATAGCAAAGGATTGGACACAACCTAAATATCCACCAAATGGCATATACCCATACAATGGAATACTATGCAGCCATAACAAGGAATGAAGCCCTGGTACATGCTACAACATGGATGCACCTTGAAAACATTGTACTAAGTGAAAGAAGCCAGACACAAAAGGTCACATACTGTATTATATATCTATTCATATGAATATTCAGAATAGGCAAATCCATAGAAACAGCAGATTGCTGGTTACTAGAAGCTGGGGGGGGGCTATTCAGGGAGTGAGGATAGACTGCTAATGAGCATGGGATTTCTTTTCAGGGTGATGAAAATATTCTGAAATTAGACATGTTGATAGTTGCACAACTTTGTGCATATACTAACAACCACTGAATTATGCACTTTAAAAGGATGGATTTTGGGGTG